TAGTAGTAGTAGTAGACAAGAGTAGTATATATATTATATATTATATATTATATATTATATATTATATATATATATATATATATATATATATATAAATGATACATGTGTCAGATGATGGTATATCACATTCACATTTACTAAGTGAAGGGCAAGTGAGTGTAATATGTATGTGATACGTAGCAGATGAGTATATTCCTCACTTCTTTTGTAAGTTGAGACCTAGCCGGTGTGTTCTGAATATATTTCGTACAGATGTTGGTATATTCTGTACCTTTTGGGCAAGCTTCACTACACTTCACCTCATCCACCACCTTCAGTTTCATTTGACGAGTGCTGTGGCGTACGCCTATTTTCTGTCATCAGGTTTTTGGCTTTTAAATCATATACGTTTATCTTCACGTCTGATCCTGACATTGGTCCTGCAGTACAAATAACGTAAATGCTATCTACTTATGTGGCGGTTGTTAGCCCGATGAGTTCCTTGGCTGTTTGTGTCCAGTTCAATCATGCGACTTCATACCCATCAGTCTAAGTAGTTTATTGTTACCTATACTCTTTCTCCTCTCTACCAGGCCCCGGTAAAAACTTTCGTTTTAAGTATTCTAGGCATTATATTTTTATCACTGCTCCCCTTCAAAGTGGTCTATTTTTATTTTCAACCCTCTTTGATGACGTCTATTTTTAACTACTCCTTTACGTAGTCTATTTTTATCTCTACCTTATTCTAAGTACTCTATTTTTATCTCTACCTTGTAGTCCATTTTTAACTTTACTCTTCCAAGTAGTTTATTTTCATATCTACTCCACTTCGAAGTACTCTATTTTTATCACCACTCCGCATCTATGTGGTCTAATTCCGTCTCGATTCTACTACCCTCCACTTTCTCAGGCCCCGCCAAGAACTTCATACTACACGAGTTCGAAGACTCTGAGCTCATTGAGGAGCACACCAACATGATGACTATCCGCATTCCCCAGAAGAAAGTTCTGTGGTCGCAGGTGTTCAAGGCGCTGCAAGACGGCCAGCAGAGGTACCACATCGAGGACTACAGCGTCAGTCAGACGTCACTGGAACAGGTGCATACACAATGCCACATGCTCGACATGTCAAGTATATGCTCACGCCTTGTACATACACACTTAACGTTACAGGGGATGGAGAGTGAAAGTATTGTTGCACGCATGTACCATGCGCACACTCTTTGCCTTACATGAATCGGAGAGGGAAATTACCGCTGCATGCATATACCATGCTCACGCACTTAGCCTTACAGGGGATGGAAATTGAAGAGTGAAAGTACCACTGCATGCATACACCATGCTCACACACTTAGCCTTACAGGGGATGGAAATTGAAGAGTGAAAGTACCACTGCATGCATACACCATGCTCACACACTTAGCCTTACAGGGGATGGAAATTGAAGAGTGAAGTACCACTGCATGCGGGCACCATGCTCATTCCTGTACCTTGGCGCACGTTTGCATGCCCACGCCATGCACAGGCTGACTTACTCACAGCTTGCCCATGTGCTCGCAATTAGCCATACGGAAAACAGCGAATGAATTGTTTATTACACGATTCCTTTCCACTGATCTGAATGCGCACCACGCGTGTTGAATCTGAGACTATGCATGTTGCGTTCGTATTCATCTTCAATTTTTTTTATGTTTGACATACCCAAGCAAGCATGCATACACGGAATAGTTTGTATACTCAGTCACAAGAGAGTTATATATTTGAAAGATACAAACATATGTTTATTGCACCTGGCGTGTGCCTGAATGTGTATCTATATCCTACTGCTCTACTTATGTTTTGCGATGAGTCTTGCATCTGTTATAAGTTAGACACTGTGTTGTGTCTGGTGCAATCTGTTATCTGAGCACATGTGTATACACAGAATAGTTTGTATATGAAGTCATGAGAGACTGTAGGGCTTTGTGTGTAAGTGTGTAGTGCAACGTGTATCCTACGCTCTTCAAGTCATGTTGTCTGATCTGGCTTCTTCCGAGCATTTGTTCCGTGGTAAGCGATCTTTGGCACACATTACCATATTCTATTGCGCTAAATTTGCATGCACATGTGTGTTGCAAATACCTACTCTCACCCTCGAGGTGCTACCAGGCCCAAAGGCGTAAATCTTTGGAAGCAATGTTTGCCTATTGTCTTTAACCACCACCACACACCCCTACACTCACGGTACGCATTCTCCGGTTCCCTTCCACTAAACCTCTAGGCACATGTATGTGGCACATATCCCTACCCTCCTCTTTGAGATGCCATTAGACCCAGACACTCATATTTTTGATCGTGTACTAAAATCTCGAATCACCACACCCCTACACTCGGCTCCGAAAGGATTGGCATTTGAGATGCGCAACTTTTTTTTTGTTTATCAGATCAGATTTAAGCAGAACTACTTTGGAAAACTTCAATGTTTGACTTGAATATCTCCAATCACCTTCTGCAGATTTTCATCATGTTCGCACACGGGCAAGAAGCCATTAACGACTCGGATCTGAACTACGACCGAGAAGCAGCAGAAGAGGAGCTCGAACGCAGTTCCTCTATGAAGATATGAGGGGCCATGCTATTCTGAGCAAGACTTGGAAGTGTCAAGAAAAAGTGCCAATGCAGGATGTGCCTGTTATGTGGCGTAGGCTGCGGGAGCAACTTGGATTGTATAGCCTTCGCTTATTAGATGTAATTTAATTATTATTATTAAATCGCACCGAATCAAATCGTGGATTCTGGCGCACCTTGTGTTATTTTACCTGAGAGACTAGTAGTGCATTACCAAGCAAGTGAGTATCAGAACATTGATAGCAATAGTAGCGAGTGTTCTAAGATATAGACAGTCAAAGAGCTTTAAAATTGCGCAGATTCGCTTCCAGTGTGAAGGTTCCGATAAAAACCCAAGCATTGTATTTATTTTGTCCTAGTACCAGTGAGTTGTTTGTTTAAAAGCCTCCATGTCTCGATAATGCCGGTTGGTCTAGTCACTTCCCTGTCGGATACTCGCTGTCCAAACTATTAACATCCCATATGTCTGATGCGTACATATGCCTTACCTCTGCCTAATTATATATATATATATATGTGGGTGTGTGTGTGTGTGTATGTGTGTTTGTATGCATATATATATATATAT